TTGCTTTAAAAATAATTCCCCAAAATTAGGGTTTTGAGTTAAAAATTTAACTTTTATTCTATAATTTAAAATCTAGATAGAATTGGACTTTGGTCATAAAAGCAAAATTGTAGGGAATTTAATTCTAAGCAATTTTCATTTTTGGTACATTTTCAAAAGAGGTCATTTTCTTGCTCAAAATAATGTTTGAATGGTGGCATTTAAAATTTCTTGAAAATAAATTGAAAATCTTCATTTCTTTTTTTCACAGCCGCCTCGCCTACTGCCCACCAAGACAAAGGCCTCGCCTGCCCTCGCCGTCGCCCGCTCACCCGCGCTGCCTCGCCCACTGCTCATGCCATGCCCAGGTTCTCCATGCTTGCCTTCTCTCCCACAACGCCCTTGCAGCGTCCGCATATGGCAGAGCTTGCTTGCCAGCGTGGCAGCTCTGCTCTGGCGTCGCCACGCTGGCTGTGCCGTGGTGTTGTGCATCGCGCCCACGCTGCAGCGCCGCCTTCACCTGCCTGTGTCCGCGACCCGCTCACTCGCGCCTGCACTTCTTCTCCCTTCTCCTCCGCAGCGTGCTGAGCTCCGAGCCCGCCGTCTGCGTGCTCGAGCTCCGCCGTCGTCCAACTCAAGCACCACCGCACCTTTCTCCAATTCCTCGTGCCCCGAGCTCCGACTCGCCTTCCTCAAGTAGTGCTCGAACTTGCTCCGCCGCCTTCCAGCACTGGTCGGACTCTCCAGCGCCCGCCACCGGCGTCCATGGCATGCCGCCATGCACGGCCGCCGTGGGCGCCTTTTCTTTTTCCTTCCTCTCCGGCCCTCAAGATAGCGACCTTGCCGAAGCTCGCTTTCTCCTCGTGGCGTCTCTGCGCTCGCTCTCTGGCGTTGTTGTGGTCGGAGACGGCCATTGGTCATTGGTCGAGTTGGCATTGCTGGCAGCGCCCGACATGGCGCTTCTCGCCTCGTCATGGCGCCGCCGAACCGCTTTTGCAAAGCGGCCGCCAGGGAAGCCTCTGCCAGCCAGCCAGCTCATCCTTTTTCGCTCGGGTCGCAGAGAGTCGAAGTGGTCGTGGGCCGTCGGGTCCCTTCAGGGCCGCCCAAAGAACACTTAAGCTTAATTGTTTTCATTTATTATTTGTTATTTGAAATCAAGAATGGTTTGAAAAATGTTTGGATGATCAAAGTTGCTCCAAATTTGTTGAAACAAATTTTTCTAGGTTCCTTATTACCAGATCTACTTGGGAAAATTATTGCATGTCATGTTTGATATACTTTCCTATAGGCTTTTATTTAATCTTGAATATTCTTTGATAACTTGAAAAATATGTAGAAAAATATATAGGCTTCAGAAAAATATGATTCCAAGTTTGTTAATCTTCTTATGTCATGTACTTCTTAGGAAAAATATGTTTCATACATGTGCTGTGGGAAAATTTAGAGGTGTAGTTCAAGTGCCTTTAAGGGCTGATTTTTGTTATTTTTGATAGAGAGCAAACTTTGTATAAAACATGCATGTGGTAATTTTTGTACAGCCATTATATGCTATGAAGAACCTAGGAAAAATATTAATTCTGTTGTTTGGCACTTTTCATAGTACAAAGTAATTTCATGCTCATTTTTAGGCTATAGCTTGTCATTTTTGTGTAGGATAGTTTACTTATCCAAATGCCATGAAATTTTTATGGTAGTCTGTTTAGGGTAGTATTATGCTACTGTAATTTTCTCAGATTTTTAGGAGCATCAGAAATATAGGTTGCTATTCAAACCTATTATTAATTAAGGTATAAGCAAGTGTTGCCTTAAGTGTGATTAAGAAATTAGTAAAGCTTTGGTGTATCTTTGAAGCATTTCACAAGATAGGTTAACTTAACATATTAGTAGTAGAAGAGAATGCAGTAGATGACATGTGCTTGTATTATAGTTTCGTGGATGATGTTGACTACCTTGCATTTAAACATATCCATTGCATTCATCTCCTTCGATGCACCGTTTGCATAATCACTTACGCGCATTGCATCATGGGGATCGCAAACCGAGAACCCGGTCGTCATAACCGAGGAGCCCGAGGAGCAGCTCGAGGTGCACCGCAGGAAGTGCCGGCCGACGAGGAGGACGTTGAGGAACTTCCGGAGTGCCCGATCACCGTCCGAAGCTCCTTCGAGAGAGGCAAGCCCCGAGCATCTTTCTCCGGTTTGCAATGATTTCGTTAAATTCTTTACTTTAAATTGATGCATTACGTTCAGGAGTTGTTTGCAACCGTTCTTTGCATTATACCTTGTTTACCTTTGTTATACTATATCCTTGTTACCCTCGGTATCCGCAATCGAGTCAATGCTTAATTTGGCTTAGACCGGTAGAAGTCGGGTGATTTCCTGTCACCTGCGAGCTATAGGTGGTTACCTGGATCTGTTTGGATGACTATGAAGTCATGGTATAACTAAGTGTTGAATGAAGTTGAGACCGGGCGGAGACTTGCAGGGTTTTGGACTGTAGTGTTTCCGTCTGTGTCGATTAAGGACCGACCGTTGTTGGGCCTCGAGTCATGTTGAACGATGCCTTACATTTAGCCGGGCGGATAAAGTACCTTCCGACCGCTGAAAGCGGGAGATTTTTCGGGCCGAGTAGATTGCCTGCAGCCAAGACGCGTGCGGGCAGTGTGTGGTAGGACACGGGCGGGATGATAAGACCAAAGTGCGATCGGTCGGCCCCGGTACATGTGGTTCTGGCAAACTCGAGATACCGAAAGTTGACTCGGTGATCAATATCTCACTTTAGCGGGTGAGTGAGATTTGTGTAAGGAATAAATCACCGGTGGTTAGGAATCGATTCGAATCGCCATCGCCTCTCCGGATAGTGAGCACTTGACTTGAGTGACTTCATCGTAGTAAATGTTTATGGAACACTTGGACAGTTATAGTGAATATGACAGTATGGAAGTTGTTTAATGATCAGTGGTTATCATTAATTGCTTAATCACATGTTTACTCTAGTATAGGTGCAAATCTAGTCGAAAGGTTAATAATAATTAACTTGACAATAATGCTTTTAGAAAGGTTCTTGAAATGCTAAAAATGCTTCTTTTGCAAATGAGTCAGCTACCCTACTATAAAGCCTTTCATAATCCTTGGTGTCATTTATTTTCGGTTATGTCGGGTAAGTCTGGCTGAGTACATTCTCGTACTCAGGGTTTTATTCCCACTTGTTGCAGATGGGCAGATGTACTATGGCTATTGTATCAACTGCCTCTATCCTGCGATGAGTGATGCTTAGGACCATGGGCATGGTCATTCCTTACGTCTCATCTAATGCTTTTGTTGGAGATGATCATCAGCTGGCACTATATTTGAACTCCGTGTGAGTGTGTGTGGTTTTAAACAAATGACTTCCGCTACTTTTATTCGAACTTGTTTTGTAATAACTTTTATTTAAACTCTGATGTATCTGTTATGGAAACTTTTATGTAATATGTGATTGGTGACCGCTAAACTTATTACGATCATGGCTGGGACACGAGTTGGTTTGAAATCCTTCGTGATTTCACGGACTACCGGGTTATACGGGCTTAAGTTTGCTCAATCGTCTGCTCTGGTGGATGATTTTCTTACTTAATTTCGTATAATTGGTCGGTTCTGTTACAAGAAGGCCCAAAGATAAGTATCTATTTCAGAACAGAGTAGTGAGTTGTAGCTGTTAATTCTATCGGCAATGGACCGTGACGATGAGACATGCTCTATGAGCTAATCTGTAATGGAATGAACAAAAGTAAATGATATGAAAGTAAAAGATGGAATGAGATCAAGGGGGAGAATGTTAGTTGATCTCCACCAATAGGCCCAACGGCCTATTGGGCCCTTGGCTCTGCTCCCTGATCGGGGGAGCCCAACCATAACTGGTTGGTGGGCCCCTGTCGCACAGCACATACAAATAGAGAAGGTGGGGATCGAGCTCGAGATGAGGTTCACTGGAGCCGCCACACCCACCTACAGAAACCCTAATACCGATCTAAAGACGTGCTGCCAGCGACGGGATGAGCCCGCCACCACCGCCGTCGATTCACTGCAGGGTCACCACCGTCCCCTCTGGATCTCCACGGCATCGCTACCTCGCCGTCTCGCCACCGACCCGGAGCTGCCCCTACACCGGCGTCCAAGCTGCTGCGGCGTCATGGACAGAGCGGTGAATAACGCGCAAAGGGTGAGAAGGCTCACACCGGATCTACGGGTTACACAGAGGTACACATCCATCGATTCTAACATGCGTGACCATCGATCGGCAAATAAGCTTTGAAAGCTTCCCGGCACGCTGGCCATGGAGAGCTACACGAACCACGCTATCTTCGCGAACCTGCTGGCGTACGAGCTGCTGATGGCGTCCGTGGTGGACGCGCGGCGCGACGTGGAGGTCCTGCAGCGGCGGCTGGGGTAGATGCGACGGACAAAATTTTAATTTTTATAAGTGGATTATTGGGTACTCTTGGAGATGGTTTAATTCATTCCTCCTTATCCTGTTTTGGGAGTTGGAAAATACTATGGTTTTTGAAAGAAAATATAGAATAGTCTTAGAGATGCTCTAAGTGCCATACATAAATGTAAAAACTTCATGGACTTAGTGCACCTGCGGCTTATTATCACAGTTCTCTATAGGGCGAGGTTCCAATTGATCAAACTCATTTTTTTTTAATTTTTATAGATCGATGTGTTTTCAGGACAATGCTATATAACTAAGCGGCTAATCCACCAACCCTTATAGAAATGGAATGAAAGGCGAGAGAACCAAGCAATACCTTTGACACTTACAGTGGGGGAGGGGGGCATTATACCTCCTACTCATCAAGGAACAATGATTGAGGGCGTGTTTGCTTCACGCCTTCCTAGGCAAGTTGCTCGCCAAGCAGCAATCCTAGCCCCCCAAGCGCCAGAAATCGGACACCTGGGAGCAACGTCGGCGTCAGCAAGCTGTCTGGTAGACAATGCAAACAGGCCCTAAGAGTGTGTTTGCTTGGGACCCTGGCAGACATGCCTAGGGCGGTTGATTTTGTCCACCGGAAATCGGGATCGCTGCCTACCACAGTTTTCGAGTTCAGTCCACCATCCAAACATGCCATAAATCCGTGGGTTCGAGGTTTGTATGTCTTATTAATTTGACTATTTCTTTTAATTAGTTAGTTGTTACATAGCCATACAGCGGCACGTTCATCATATATGTAGAAGGACCATATGTACATTAACACCCAAAAAGCTTGCAATGCAAATGTTTTTTTATTTAAAAAGGTGAAGGAACGAGCATTTATTTTCAAATTCCCAATGATTTCCATGCACCCCTCTTTGATTTTTAGTCTATTTTAAGGTCACGAATGCTTCTTTCCCTCCCCCCCTTTCTGAAAGACAAAAAGAAGCGACAAAGAGTAACACATGAGAAGATCATAGCGCGCGTGATTTTGTTTATGTAACTGGTGTTGATATAGAGTGGCAGTAGTTATACAAAGTACTTATTGGCGGTAGTTTTTGATTGTCATTGTGAGAATCTCATGAACATAGGGCATTTCACTACAAATTTGTATGTTTCCTAGGATTCAAACCAGAACCTCTCTCCTCATGTGAGCCTTCCTTACCATCTCACTATACAATTATTACTAATATCAACGTGAGAATCATTTCTTTTGAACTATCGGTGGAGACTATTTGCTATGACGGTTTTGTTTAAGCCAGTCGTCTGTAGAAATCACTTTTAGAGACAGTTGACTTAAGCAATCACCTAAAAAATATTCATGAAAATTGTCTTCTTAAAATATATATGAGAACTTACAACTAATATTTAGGCTTTAAATAAATGATTTTAAATGAAAAAAATTCAACTGCAAATTCGTAGATCTCATCGACCTCTATTGGTTTAAAATTGTGAGAGTATACATCTCCAAGAGTATCCTAATTTTTTCTCCAAAAAAGTCCATGTTTTCCTACTCCTAAAAATGTATTGGGAGAAAAAAATGGCATCTCCAATAATTTTCAATAATTCACTTCTAAAATATAGAAGATATTTTTACACTAGGAATCTTATACTACTTTTAAATTATTTTAACAAATTTTATATATTATTTCTCTCCTGTACATTTGCATCTAGAACCCTTTCATACTCTTTATTTTTTTTCGCCTTCCACCTTTCATTGGCCGAAGAATATGCGTGTATTCGCGCGATCACGACTCCACAACTGGGGAGAATTTCCCAAGTGCGTAAATTTTAGGAGGAAGGATTAGGAGTTGTTAGAGAGGGATTTTTCTCATCTTGCCAAAAACCAAGGATTGGGAAGAGAAATAGGGTACCCTTGAGATGCTCTAGTTTTTTTTTTTTTTGGGAAACAGATGCTCTTATTAGGTAGAAAAACAATTACTAGTTTGCACAAGCCCGATCCAACATCGCCACTGCAGCTGTTGGGCCTATTGGGCCGGCTATGTGGTGTTGAATTGGTAATAGTTCTCTCCCCTGCAAGCCGGCGTGAGCACCCGGTCCCCCACCAGGCCACCACCTGCCGCCGGCGAGCCGCGGTGAGTTCCTCCCCCTTTCTCCTCCCGGTTCCTCGAGTCCCGCCTCCTCGCCGCGCTCCGCGACCACCTCCCCCTCTTCTACTCCAGATGCCGCCTCCTCGGCTCACCCAGCTTAACCCACCTTGCAGATCCAGTGTCGATTCCCTTCCTCTCCGCGTGGGCGAAAGGATTCAGTGAACTACTTCCACATACTCGCTGCTTCTACCCTGCCCATGGTTAGCCTCTCGAGCTTCTTCTCCTTTCTCAGTTTGATAGCGTTTTGGGGCGCAAGTGTCCAGTTTACCACCCCGTTGCTTGGAAGTATTGCGTCCCTACCTGCTTTTAGTAGCTTTCTGATTTTCATATGGTATTATTAGGCTGCTAAACCCCCTGAATTTTCATCCCTGCTTATCTTTCTGTCCTTTGTAAGATGAAATGAAATGAAATGATGCTGCGGTATATTGACTCTGTAATTGTAGCTAGAGTAGTGTTAGAATAAGTCCAAATTGAAAAGAACGCATGCTGTCTTTGCCATATTGAACATTACTTAAGAACGCTATAATATTATTCTGATCCCTTGTTCGGTTCCTGTGTAATCTACAAGCTGTTTCTGTTGCCGTTTCATTGTATCTTATTGATATATGCTTACTTGTTCATTTGTATAGTATGATTCTTTGGTGATATGTTCCAGTGGTTCTGTTGTCATTTTATTTTGATGTATGAATACACTGATACCCCCCAACACACACACACACAAAAAAAAAAAAGGAAATTGCTAAAAACCTGGATACTCAAGATGGCAGAGTTTTTTTTATATTGCTATTTACACGTATGCAATTCTGCAGGCTACACCACTTATAGCAGGACTTGCAGTTGCAGCAGCTGCACTTGCCGGTAGATATAGCATCCAAGCTTGGAATGCTTATAAGGCACGACCTGTAGTTCCAAGGATGCGCAAATTCTATGAAGGTGGCTTTCAACCTACGATGACACGAAGGGAAGCTGCTTTAATCCTTGGTGTCAGGTGCACATTACATAATATCTGTACCACAGTTGAGCATTTTTTGTGTTTCTCTTTCATATCAATATCCTGTTCTCTAGCACCATTTAAATTTATGCTATGGCTGGAGTTAATCGTTTGGGGTTAGAAACGGCAGGGGGTGGGTGGAGAAAATTGGCAATTTGATACTTTCAAGAAGTGATTTCGAAGATTTGCCACTTTGGAGATGGGTTTCACAAAACTGCCACATAGATCACTAGCTCTTTGATGACAACTGCCATTATTCATTTTCTTTATCTTTCCTAATTAACGGACCAGATTGCCCCTAGCTATGTACACGAATCTGGTTGGGCATGCAATGGTGCCACTAGGCATTGGCCAGCTCATGCGTGCCCATGGCCGCTCGTTAGCTGTGCAGGTTACAGGTTGGTTGACCACGTAGAGTACTGGCTGACCTGCCTTTCTGTAGGCTGCTGGTTGGCCCAGCACATGGAGTCAGAGCCACCGGCGCTAGCGGAGCCGGGGCCTCTGGCACATGGGAGGTCGAGGCGTCTAGCCCTGTCGAAGTCAGGGCGGTCAGTGCTTGAGGACTTATCAACAACAGGTGTCAGGCAGCGCATGTGGTGTCACTTTCAGATTATCCGTCCTCGATTCAACCCCTGAGCCAACCACTCCAATCCATGTAACCGCGTAGGTCAATAGGCCTAAGGGCATTTGGGTCCTTTCAGGTGCCTGAAATAGGAAAAAGAAAAGAATCGGAAAATAAGTAAAAGAGGGAAAATGGCAAGCTAATCAAGACGTTAACATACTAAGTGGTAATTTTGCGAAGCCCATCTTGAGAATGGCAGATTTAAATCTGTGAATCCACTTCTTGAAAGTGTCAATAGCCAATTTTCTTGAACCCGAGTGGAAGAAAGTTGCAAACTCAACGATCTTTATCATACCCAGTCTGGCTCCTTGCAATCTGCCATTTCACAGGAAGGCATTTATCCATCTAATACTCCCATTAACTGCCCAAGCCCAAACCCCTTGGAAAATGCATGTCGTAGTTCATTTGATATATGCAATTTTAGCTGATATGGCATATAATTTAAGTACAAAATGAAACAGTCCATGGTACACACTGAACCACAGTACACACCCATATCATAAATCTATTTTAGTGTTTTATTAGGTTGCTTCATTAATTTTCAACTGGATAAATTGCAAAAAGGGCACTAGTGAACTTTACTTTTCCATGTAAGGAGTAATCTTGATGGGAAATCTTTATCAGAACAAATGCAGCACGTAGCTTCGGACAGTTACGGGCTCAGAGTCACTATTCAATCGTTCAGGATATGTAATATAGTAGAAGGCTTGATTAGCAACTGAAGCGTTAAGAATTGGTGTATGAGGGGAGGAACAAGAGTAGAGGTCAAAGTGACTGGAGAAACAAACTCACAGAGTTATTAGATAAGATAAGCAGCACCTCAATTGTATGTGGGATGACTACACATCTAGGGTTAAAGTCTTATCCTTAAATCTAAATGCTAATAGCATATATGTGAAAAAGACGTTGCCCCACATTTTAGAGACCAAATTGCATGATGTCGTGCCTATGGATGTCTTATGACCCTGCAGGTACACTTAGATGGGATATACAATATTACAGTGCCCCTGTATCACCTATATGGCCCCTTCTAGATGGCTAGATGTGGGTTACTTTGTCACTAGAGGCCTGTCTATAGAGCTGCTCCTTTTGTCATTGGCTGTAAGCATGCAGTGTTGGATATACATAGCTCCAGAGCAACTATATTGGTGTTGTTTCAAGAATTTTGATTCCCAAACTAATTAAATGTAGTCCAGTTAAAATATCCCCTTGAAAATTCAGTCTCTCCTTGCAAAGTTTGTTTTCTTCCACTTTACCCCAGAAAAATAGTCCCTCCTTTTGCCCAGATATATGAAAGGTTTGGAATGTCATATAAACTGTACTTGATGTGAACATACTGAATTGGATGGTGCATTAACTCTTCCAAATGAATAGAATTTACATATGTGCCCAGCTGGTCAATTCTTGCATTTGTAGGAGTGTCACTGCTTTGTGATTCAATTTTCGTTTGTACTATAATTTGGGTTGTGTCACTTCTTGATTTAGCGGCCCTCTGCTACGTTGATGGCTCCAGGGAAACTGCCAATGCAGAGAAGGTCAAAGAAGCACACAAGAGGGTGATGGTGGCCAATCATCCAGATGCAGGTGGAAGTCATTACCTTGCTTCAAAGATTAACGAGGCGAAGGATGTATTGACAGGGAAAACAAAAGGAGGTGGGTCAGCCTTTTGATTGGAAAATGGACAGCGTGTTCTTCCACTGAAAGGACAATTTTGTATCTCCAGACTCGCGTTAGAAGATAGATAGAAATCTTTGTATGTTTTATGAAATTTTCTGGACAAAAAGGTTGTGGACCTTTATGGAGTAGGTTATTCACTGCTTAATAAAGATCGGCCCCATTGTGCCCGAATCAATGATGTCACGGCTTGACTAGTAGTCTCATGTCGTGGGTTCATCTCTTTTCATTGGACTCTGTTGCTATTGAGTCGCCTGTTCTTCTTTTTCCTTTTCTTTTGATATGGTATTCTTCAGGAGTTCAGGTTTTAGAGAGAATGTTGGCTTGTGTACATGCCACGACATTATCTAAGACTCAGAGCAGTCCGAGAGGATATGCTCTTATGCTTGTTTTTGCCTTTGATCGCAATTTGTAGTGCAAACTGGATGAAATCCTGAGATTCACCAAGACAAATCAGCCTGAACTGCCTTTTATTGATAATTCCGTATCTGTTTTGAGCCACAACCTCGTAATTTCATAATGTCATCCTGCGGCTCAATCGTAACCTGAGGAGGCCCTGCTGATGAGTTACCTTTCTGAGCCCCACAACATTGAGCTCCTAAGCCCAACTGAGGAGACGGACTTGCTAGCGCTCGGACGTCCGATCCGGACGCTAGCGTCTATGGATGTCTCGACTTGGGCTCTAGCGTCCGAACGCTGCCCGCACAGGGAGCGAACGAGCGCCTAGCGCGTGGAGCTCGTGAGGGAGCGCACCAGTAGTGGGCCCACGCCGCCCTGGAGGTTGCCCATGCTGCCGGACGTCGTCTGTGCTACCAGTCGCTTTCCATGTGCATCCCATGTGCAACATCTGATTTACTTTTGAAACATCTAGATACAACAGTTACAACATACAAAAGAAGACAGATGAAACACTTGAAACAAACGTGTTAAACACTTGCAAAAACGTCTAAAAACATTTGAAAACCATTGCAAACATATGCAACATCCAGATAAAACACTTGCAAACATACGTATGAAACACCTGAAAACACTTGAAACATATGATTGCAACATGCATGTATATGCAACATTCAGACAAAACACTTGTAAAATTCGTCTAGAACAGATGAAACACTTCGAACATACACTTGAAACATACGTGTATAGCCATTATAACATGTGCAACATCCTGATCTACTTTTGCAACATCGATATACAACACTCGCAACATATCTCTGAAATATCTGAAATACTTGAAACATATTACTATTGCAACATGCGCTTTCAACGTAGCATCTGCTTCTTGCTTGGATGAATGGAGGCTCGTCGACGCGGAGCTCGAAGCCGTGTAGTGGCGCGGAGGTCGCCTGTGTGGAGCTCGCGGCAGCACAAACCTCGGCAGGGGGCAGGCGGATGGAGCGTGACCGTGAAGGGAGGCACAAGTCCGGGAGCGAGCTAGCAAGCGCCTAGCGCGTCGGGCTCGCCGTGCGTGGCACGGGTAGGCGATAGGGGCATGAGCGGGGGCGGCGCGGGCGAGGGTGGGGTCGGTCCCACGAGTAGAGCAAGCGGGCAACGCGGGTGGGGACGGCGTGGGCGAGTGCGGGGTCCGTCCATCCGAACACGCATTTCCGTTGAGGAGATGCTTATTTTGGGATATTCAGAGATGGAGTTCTTGTTGCTTGCACCGGTTTTAGTGCACCCATGGGGCTGGAGGTCCTTTGAGTTCCATTAGTGAACGATGAATCGTTTTGAGTACTAGCCTGCTACTTGTGATGGTTCGCAGATTGATCTGCTATGAATAGGTTAATCTTTGGCTTAGGTTAATTTAGTAGAGACTTTTATCTGTGTGTCATTATAAAAGTTGGTAATAATTATCTATAAGCCATTAAAAAGTTGAGTTCATATAGGTGTCAGCTGTTCTGAACTTTTTTGTCCTCTACGCAACTTCCGTTAGATCTGGCTCTAATGGTGTCAAACTGAGTGTAAAAAATTGAAAATACCCTTAGGTCTAAATATGCAATTAATTTTTTTTGAGCATCTTAACTATCTCAAATGAAAAAGCTCAAAACTAAAAAGTTGGAGATCTCGTCAAGATCTACAATATTTATATAAAACCTATCTTCATTTGATTCCGTAAAAAAAATGATTTTTCTAAGACATATTAATCATATCAAATTATATCTTTTTTTGGTATGGAATTAAATGAAGATATTTTTTATACAAAAATTGTAGATATTATCGAGATCTACAACTTTCTAGTTTTGAGTTTTTTCATTTGAGGTTATTAAGATGCTCAAAAAAATTAATTGCATATTCTGACATGACGGTATTTTTGACTTTTCACACCCGCGGCCGTTGGAGCCAAATCTGACGGAAATGACATGAAGAGCAAAAGAGTTCAAAACAGTGGACACATGTGAGAACTCATTTTTAGTGGCTTGTGTGTAATTACCAACTTTTATAATGGCACGGGTAAAAGCCTCAGTTTGGTACTATGCCTGCATAATTAATATTTGGTATAACAAATGATACTATCGACGCAATGGGCCACCTTGCTAGTTGTACTTAAACCTCACGTCCATTTCCTTCGGAAAATAAGGCAGCAGTTCCTGCCGACAGCAAAAGCTGGTTCATGACTGCACTTCAAGACCAAAGAATGTTGATGGCATGCGATCACGTATTCAGGTCTTAGTCAAGGAGGGTGGTATCGACGTGAAGCCCATCAACGCTCACCTGCCGTCGGCAACCTCCATCATCCATTGGTTGTGTTCGCAGTTAACAAGTCACAAATGATCACCATTCTTTTCTCTCCTTTTTTTTTTTGGCATGGATACTTTCTTCATCAAGCTGCTCTGTAATCTAGTAGTCTGTAATAGTAAAACCAACAGGTGCTTCTTCTTCTAGTCATGGCATCATCAGTTTCCTCGACACACGTAACCTTTTTTTTCTTCTTCTTTCACCACCATCACATGGCTGTAAGTTGGAACCAGTACCAAGTGTACTGTCTTCTCTTGGCAATCCCATTTGGACTTCAGTTTAGCATTTTCACACGTCCTTTGATGGAGCCCTCAGGTCCAGGATATTGGATCCTGCATGGTGGAGCACTAACCGTGCTGCTGCTCCACGAATAGATTACTCATCCTAAGGTCACCTCTGCCTGGAGATCCGAGAAGAAGCATGGAAGAATCTCATCTCATTAATTGCCGGCTTACAACCGATGTTGACTTCAGAATTCTGTGATTTTGCTTAATATAAAACCGTGGAAACTGTCGGTCCGCAACCTTCAACCTCCACTGGACCGTCTGATGCATAATCGAACGGTTTCCGGTTCATCAGAACATATTCACAAGTGCAGTTGTCGGTAGTCAGTACTCAGTTGCCACTTCTCACCTGCAGTCAAAATTTCCTCTTTCCAGTAAGTCTGTAAGTGCAAGTCAATGCCACATTGTCATCTTGTTGATTAAATTAATTTGATAGATTGATTCCGTGGCTCAAAATTTAAAAACAAAATAGGCTACTACTTCAAGATCATGTGCATTGGCATATGAGTAGCATGGAGAGTCCCTCACCTCAAAGGCTCAGCTGTATCCCATCCTCACCAGTGACCTCCAAGCAGAAACTCTGCAAAGCCCTGCCATTCCCAAACCCAGGAAAGCCAAGAAAGAAGCTGTAGCCCCGCCCCCCAACCCATTCACATTTCTGCAGCAGCCAGCAAACAAGGCCAAGATCCTGCAAGCAGAGGAATTGAAGGAGTAATTTACAGTAATAAACAAGAGTAAGTGCACCCTTCACACTGGTAGGACATGGATGGGAGCAAGTACAGATCAAAGGGCTATGCAATGGCCAATGCCGGCAGGAAGCTCCCCTACGTTTTCCTGCTGCTGGTGGCCCTCGCAGCCGGTGTGCTGAGCATCGTCGTCCTGCAGAAGGTGAGGGAGCAGCGTGTCTTTGCTGGGCGTCTCCAGGAACGTGACCGGCAGCTTGTCTCCGTTCGGATCCTTCTCCAGGTATGGACATGGTCATGGATCACCCACCCCTTCTACTTCCAATTACCTGCACTAGTCATTTTCCTCAGTCTAGTTTGTTTCAAGAAACAAAGCAGCAAACCAGATTTCCACAAGAGAGCGTAGCATCTTTTTCAAAAAAAAGGGGGAAAAGAGCGTAGCAGATCAGAAGCTGCTATTAGTTGTTATTGTCTGCATGTTGGTACCACAAAGTGGCACAATTCAATGTATTTGTACAACACTGACATACTGTTAAGAATTAGTACTTCAGGATTTGCTTACCTCTAAAGGGTTTTATAAAAGGACGACCACTAGATAGTCAGTTTGATCTCAAAATTTTGAATATATCAGAAAAAATTAATGAGAGAGATAACATCTCATTTGTAAGAAAAAAAAACTGGCCATTTTTCCAGTTTTAACTAGGTTTTTGGAGTTATTACTTACAAACATAGTTCCAAAACCAAAGAATCTCTTATTTTTTACCCAAAGACTTGCTGCAGTGAAGCTATATTATGCTTGTTTGTAGACATTTTATATAGTATGACATTTGTAACTAACAGACAAAGAACTTCGATTTCGTAGCTACACTGTTACATGAGCTACACAACCTTTCTCTGTGGCAGATATAGAATATGCGGAAAATTCAAAAAAATGTAACTAACTGAATGTTGCTGCTTCATTATTTATTCTCAGAAAGAGAAGGCAATTAACAAAGAGATGAAGAGGAAGGTGGAAGAAATGAAAGCAACAACATCTTCACTTAGAACTCAGAAGATAGACCAGAAAACCAAACTCAAGGGAATGGAAACCACAGTTGCAAATCTTAAGAAGACTCAAAAAGATCTGGAAGCAGCTCTCGCAGAAAAAGATAACCGCATCAATCTAATGGAAGAGGCAGCCACAAATCTCAAGAAGGCTAGAAAACAACTGGAGGCAGCTCTCACGGAGAAAGACAGACACATCAAACACATGGAAGAGAAGACCAAAAATGCTACCAACACTCAAAAAGAGTTGGAAGCAGCTCTCTCGGAGAAAAACAGCCGCATCAGACAAATGGAAGAGAAAGCCACAGGTTCAAACCCTGACCAGATGGCAGCTCTGATGGAAATCCTGCAACGGAAGGAGGCCGAACTCGAAGAGATCAAGACGAGGTTCCAAGATTTCAAGAAACCAGACAGAGCCGAGGTGAATAGAAAGAGCACTCCTATGCAAATGAACAATGCCAGTGCAACACCAAACGTCGTGCTAGTCACAAAGGCTACAAACTCAAGCAGTGTGGCTCTTCCCATCAAGTCTGAAGAAAAGAGATCTGCCAATTCCACAGCAGTAGGAAATGCCAAACCTGAAGAAAAGAGATCTGCCAATTCCACAGCAGTAGGAATTGCCAAACCTGAAGAAAAGAGACCTGCCAATACCACAGTAGCAGAAAGTAAGCGCCCAATACAGAGATCTTTAGAAGAAAAGCTGGTGAAGTCCACAACTAGTATGGAAGATGATGGCATACAAGGAAACTTAAATGATTTTGATGACGATATAGATTTTGATGATATTTATGGAGAAAGTCGTTCAAAAAAATCTGGATCCTCTCGGAGGAACAAGGAGTTTCCAAGCAACAAAATGGATAACATTGAACAGTCTGAGAACTCCCTAGATCAGGACAGTGACAGGGTCCGATATAATAGGCTGCTGGAGAAGCAATATACTAAAGTTGCCAACAAAACCAAGAAGAACAACAACGCTCAGGGTACCTTGGAGAAGATCTCCAAAGATAACTCAATTGGTGCCGGCCATACTGCATCCAAAAAGGCAGTGGAAGGGATGACCGGTGCTGCTGGTGTGAAACCGAACATTAAGATACCAGTAAACAGCGATGAGGCGAAGCAGCAAAACAGCAAGCAGAAAAAGAAAAGGTCTAAGTCCAAAAACAAGAAGATGGTCGATGTTGCAGTTGCTAATGTTGGTAGCGCATTCGCTAAACAAAGGACACCGGATGGCACATCAGTCTCAAAGTAAGTTTTCAGACTTACAAAAGGCTGAAGAGAACCTCTTGGATTGTTGGATAATTAATGGATAAGAAGAGCAATCCTTTTGTATGTTCAAACACAATGGACAGAATGAAGGCAGAATTCAACGCGTACGGAAAATGAAGGCGGATAGTAGCCGAGAAGATGCAGAGGTCGATTCTAGGTTATAGCAGCATATGAGTTCATTTCTACAATATTATGAATTGGTTTTGTCTGCAAAAGCAATTTTGAATTTAGTTCTTCACGATTTTTTGCAACATTGTTCCATTTTCTCTTCCTCTTCTCAACATTGTAAACTCATGCTGAACACTACAGTATGTGTGAAATGCAATAGCTCAGTGAGTCCTGCAACAGTGGAATGCTGTGTTCCTGGCTTCCTGCAAGCAAGTATATAGTGACTAGTGAGTCCATGACCCAGCCTCACACCCACACAAAACAACATGGTACCTCAAAACTACAGATACAGAGGTAATGGTATAGTGGTATGGTAGGTGCATTCAGACTAGACTAGATCAGCTCAGCTCAAGTGAATTATGGCTAGATCTAACTGGCAAATGCCGTAGGAACGAGGGAAGCCCAAGAACACAGCGTTCCACTCCAAGCAAAATCAGGAACGAAACCTGCAGAGTACCTGAACCGTTCCACCAAGATGTGACGGTTCCCGTTCACGGGCCACTCTGCGGGCTCCTCCGTTGGCTACGCCGCCGCCGCCGTCCGCCGGAGCACCACCACATTCCGCTCCGGCCGCCGGAGTGTCGTCTCCTTCGCCCTTACCTTCTCCCCTTTTCCATTGGACCCTAGAGAATCTAGGACGCACACCGACACTCGGGCCCATCTGTCGGTGGCTCTTACCCACAGGTTGAAAGAGCAGCATGTAAATTCAGATTCAACGAATATACTGATAGTAACTACTCGATTCAGGATCAGGAATACACAAAGCCCAATGAGGAATCCACTAGAACCGTGAACCTAAAGATTGAATTCAACACGGTAGCCACTAGCCAGTTCACCCAGATGCACAAAGTTCGCCAAAGAAATTCCGGCTCCAATGTTCAACTCCCAAAAGGAACGCAATCGTTCCGGCCGCCGATCTGCTCATCAATTCCTCCTGATCAGTGATCACAGCCCCGTACCTCCCGGCGGCAACCTGCACGGCAAGTCAAAAGCTCAAACCTTGGGATATCATTCAGAGCTGATAACTGAGAGATCGCTGGACGAGACAGCTTACGGGAGCCCGGCGTTTCTTGGCCGTGTCGGCGTCGTCTTCCTTCGCCGGAATCCTCTGGAGGGAAGCCAGGTCCGTCTTCCTCCTCCCACCGGCAGCCGCAGATCGTCCCCCGCATGCTGGTGCCGCTCGTCTCTTCTTTCCTGCTTGCTGGCTACCACTCTCCTCCGGGTCCTTGAGCATGGAGCAGTACATCAACGTGTCATTAGACTTGAAATTGTGATGGCTGAAGAAGAGATCACTTACTGAAGATTCGATGGGTTCGTCATCTGAGTCAAGGGCCTGCTGCTCCTCTGTTGTCGTCGAGCACTTCTGCTTCTCAAAGACGCTGAGTGTATCAGCCTGCAGATTCTGGGAGCTTGCTCTTTCCTTGGATTGGTTTTCCTTTTCCTGGAGCTGCACAACAAGATTACTCAGCATGTCAGCTTGAAGAATTTAACGACATATATCAGTTGATGCCCTACTTTTTCTTGGTCAATGGAATCGTCTTCGGCGGTAGTCAATTTGTTCTGCAAATTATCCAACAAGAGGTGCTTCAGAATTCAAATTGTATAGAAAAAATTGAAGTTAGAAATGTTAGCCAGTTTGGAGTTTGGACATTCAGTCATTCCAGTTGCAGACTAGTTTTTCGTTCATGTAATGTAAACTGGTAGCATATCTTACTATCGCTTCCTCAATGTTTTGCTGCACACAAGCTTGAAATGCCGTCTTGTCGTCCTCCTTGACAAACAGCGTGTTCGCTTGCTCGTAAACGATCGTAAATTTCCAGCCGGAACCGTGTTTTTCTCTCACACCAAATCAGCCAGCAGTAAATAATCCACGATACGATACGGCCTCCCGAACAGGCTGAAAATTATTGAGTGCACTGTTCAACTCGTCTACAGAAAGGATCTCCAGTTTCTGGAAAAGCAAGGATGGGATGACAAAACGTACAGAAGTTTGTTAGCATGCATCAACCTTCATCGTGCAATTATATGTCTAGTAATGGAATGGTGGACGTCCTATGAAAAAAAGAGAGCGAGACATCTTGAGTTAGTATTAGAAAGGATCAGGAGGAACTTCAGTACCAAGTTACTGTCTGCAATAAGTGCTTCAATGGTCTCCTGGTTGAGGTCATTTGCACAAAGCTCTTCAGAAATGTTGCAGCTTTCTACAGTATATAGAAAGAAAGAAGTTCAATAGACCACATTACTCAACCAGAGTAACAAGATTGATTTGCTAATTAAGTAATATAGAAAAAGATGAAATGCCAAATCTTGTGTCTCATTGCATTAAACAGAAGTGACAACTATACAAGGCAATAAAAGAGAGAGCCTGAAATTACACTCATCTAGTATTTCTTAATATATTTAAACTGGCCACATACTGTCTTGTAACCTTTTTCTCTACTTGTTAATATATTTCCAATAGGGCTCTGTTTCGTCAAAAAAAAAAAAAACACTCATCTGCTTGTTTTTCTTATTTGACGTTTTTCAATTTTTACATAGGCTCTCAGATGTAACTCCATCCACTGCATCCTATTAATATACAGCGGTAAAGGTATGATACTATGAATGTACTTTAGCAAGAAAAATAGTAGTATACTTTTCATCAACCAATCTACAATGTGGACTGTCAATATGCTCACAATAAGATAGTAATATAGCCTTGTTAACAATAAATTGATTGGCAAACTAAAAACTAGAACAGAAACTCAACACAAGTACCACCCTTGTCCCCTATGAGTGTACCCTAGCATTCCTCTCTCATGTATTGCTGTTACTAGACTATTTCATTGTGAATGATTATGGTGGCAATGACACTAAGCAGACTAATGGAAAACGTGGATATAAAACAAAAAACAAAGAAAAACAGAGGAGAGTGAGTGAGAGAGAGAGAGAGAGAGAGAGAGAGAGAGAAATACAAAATGATGGCAACATCAATATCAAGTTATCAACCCATTATTTACTATATGGAAAAACAATGTGTGTGTATACATTTAAATTTGCTAATATATGGAACCCGCAATATACATTGCGAGATTGATGTATTCGAGGATTGGAGAGACTTGAGGCAGAAGAGAAGCCAACACTCTTAGTTACAAGCAATCATGTAAGGTCGTTGCACTACCGAAACAGGATTGGAAAAGGATTGATCAATGAGGGCTGACGTTGTGATAGACATCCTCCTGTCCTAATCCAACAACTGTAATAAGCCCACTAGCAGCAGTGTGGTCTTTCTATAGTTCGGACAAAAGTCACTCACATCCCAACTCCTCGTATAAGAGAACTATATGATGGCAAGAGGAAAAGAAAATTTAAATATGATTTTGGTATTGATTTATCTGGTGAGTTTAGCTTTAAACATGCCATTATATACGGAAGTTCCACAAAAATAACTATATACTCCTAATGCGGAAGCTAATATATATTGACTGCATGCAAACGGTAAATGCATTTTTTTTTGGTGTGTGTGTGTGGGGGGGGGGGTGGGGGGGGGGGGAGGTAAATGCCAAATTCTAAGAGATATACTTGGGAAAGGAAAAGAGATGAGGGTAGATGCGTCTTTTGCCAACGTCCTTAATCTATCCAACAAAATTTAGAAACTTATTTTATTATGGAAAGGGGGGAGTATTTATTTAAATGACCTTAAATCATATATGGATGTCAATTGACTATGGAGATCATTAATAAGAACTTGGCATTTAGTTGTGTATATGAAGACAACCTGAATTATTTTTACCATATTTAATTGGAGATAAACACATGCATAGCATATATATACCATGTGCATGAAATGATAAGAAATTACAATATCCGTAGTCACCTTTTGATGGTAAATATGCCCCCCTCATAAAGTTATTATATTATAAACTATATGTCGGTGCAAAATATGGTCAACAAGTAAATATTTGTAGTTTTGCCGTGCGTTGTGATCGGATGTGGCCTAGCACTCAATGACACAGGATTTATACTGGTTCAGACAACGGGCCCTACGTCCAGTTGAGATCGGTTGGTGACTTTATTCCTGAGCCCAGGTGCTCGAAGTTTGCTGTGGGGTTACAAACGAGTGAGGAATAAAGTCGGGGTGTAAAAGGCCCGGTCATATTCTAGTCCGAGTGGAAGAGAGTGACGGGGGCTCAAACGTATGCTAAGTGTCGGAGCGTGTGCTCTGTGTGCCCGAGCTTGCGGGCTGTTGAGACTATTGAGACCGTGTTCGGTAGCTAGTATAGCCGTCGAGTCGTCGAGTCCTCGGGTCCCCGTCTTTTAGGAGAGAGCGCATCCCCTTTTATAGTTGAAGGGGATGGCCTTACAACTCAGAGAGAGAGAGTATATACGGGCGCTGTCTAGTCTTGTTGCCTACGCCATCAGTACGGGATGACCGCCGTCGCCCGCCATACTGTTTACGTCTCCATCGCCTACCTTGCTGTTCATACTATGTTGTATCTGGCAGGCTGCACGGTGTTCGCCTGATACGGCAAACGACGGCGCCTATAATACTGTTTATGCTCTGACGCGTCTGGCAGGCAGTACAGTGTCCGTCTCGACATGGCCCGACGACACCGTCCTGTAGGTGCGCAGGGCATGGCAGGTTACGGTCCTCGGTATTACGGTTGACTTGAGCGCCTTACCTTATTTGCTCCGCCTGCTCCCCGGGCCCACACCGAGCGGGCGTCCCTGGTCGGTCATTCTCAGTCGACCCGACCGTGTTGGTCGGGAAAGAGTAGCGAGCAGAGGTCCGACGTATCCTCGGTCGGAGAAAGGGGGTCGGAGTAGGACTGCGGTCCCACCATGGCCAGGCCTTCGGGTCGGGGCTTCGACCAGGTCTTTTGGCCGGAGGTGCCGATCGGGGACCGAATCGTGGTCTTGGCCTGTCATTGTGTATCTAGGTCGGCCCAGGCGCGTGCTGTCGCTGTGCCGCCTCCTAGACCAAGTTTTGTAGGGAAGCGGGTCCATTAGGGACTCCGCGTTTATGAACCCGACAGGAGCCCCCGAACCTCTTTGGGACTTCTATGAAGCCGTGAAGGGGCTGTTCGCACACGCTTTGCATGATATTGTAAAAGCCAGGGCCTTGTGTTTTTAGCTTAATGAAAGCTTGTATTTTCTTTGTAATTCCTGTGCCCATTGTGCCGTGGAGGCGGGCTGTTATTGGAACTTCTGTGTTTTCCCCCTTGGTTTGTTGTACTTCGTAGGGTAACTGAGTAGGATTTAGGCACCCAGCCTCCATGTGGAGGACTGGCAAAGGTCATGGAGGCACGCAGAGTGGATATGGGCGCCCAGCCTCCATGGGGAGGACTGGCGAAGGCTGCGAGGCACGCTGGAGGGATATTGGCACCCAGCCCCTGAGGAGGGGACTAACGAAGGCCGCGGAGGTGCGCCATGTAGACATAGGCGCCCAACCCCTGAGGACGAGACTCGCTGGTAATCCGTTTTTCGCCGGGTGCGTCGGAGCGCACCCGGTGGGTGTAGCCCCTGAGCTTGCGGCCGACTGGGGAGTTGGTCGGAGGCTGAGTAGCTTGGTACTCTTTTTTGGGGCTGCGGACTCTTGTGTCTCTTTTGGTCGGGGTATTCGCCTATGTCCGTTCCGACCGCAACCTGTGCGGTCGGTCGGGTTTTTGAGTCGGGATCTGGCGGCTCGAGCCCCCAGGCCACTAGGGGCTGGTCGCATGATTTCCTGCGTCACTCCATCCACGGTTTCCATAACCGGAGGGGTTGAGCTGACGCCACTTGCCTCGATGGCTCGAGTGGTGGGCTTCGGTGAGCTCGCTAACGGGCATGTTCGAGTGGAATCCGGGTCCATCGTTCGTGACGGGGTCGGCATAGCCCTCATGTGGCACTCCACTTCTCCTTAACCTGTCTCCCAGCAGATGCCCGAGTTGTTCCGGAGATCGACTCAGGTGGCCCGATGGCCTCCCCTCGATGGAGATTCTGTGGGAACGGCTCGAGGTCAGGATCGAACAAGAAGGTTGAGATGACCCTGTCCGCTCTTGAGCGGGTTGGGTGAGGGCCGCTGGGGCTCATCTATGTTTTCTCCCCTGGTTCTATTTGACATGAGGTGGCCTCAAGCCCTTTGTGGGCCAGCCTTCGAACCCCGGTCGGTTGCCACTCATATCGAATGAGATGACTACCGCTTCATGACGCGACGCGAAGCGTTTCGATGCAATGATTGCATATGCAATGATTTGGATGTATGAATGCATGCATGAGAATGAATGCTTATGTACTGGAAAAGTAAAATAGGGGTTGGTAAAGTTACCTCGATGGCTCGAGTGACGGGTTTAGGGAGCTCCTATCAGATATGTTCGAGTGGAATCCAGGCTTGTCGTTCGTGATGGAGTCAGCATAACCCGCATGGGGCATCTCACTGCTCCTTACCTATCTCTCGGCAGCCGCCCGAGCCGTCCGATCGACTCGGGTGACCCGCTAGCCTCTCCTCGATGGAAGGCAGAGATTCGTTTGCGTGTGGTTGCGCCTCATTTCCCATGCCCGGGTTGCGGTAGTGGTGGGCCCCACCTAGGCCATGTCCCATTAGCCAGACGACGTCCGTCGGGCAGGCCATGTCCCATTAGCTAGGGCCACGTCCCATCGCACGCCTTTCCTCATTAAATAGGGGGAAGGGAGAGGGTTTTCCTCCTGTTCTTTCGCCTTTCTTCAACCGCTGTCGTTTCTCCTTCCTTCTTTTTGCCAAGCCTATTTGTGTGCCGCGGCGGTTTCTAGGAGAGAGGAGGGCAGAGCGAGGGAGAGGAAAAACTCACAGATTCGTTCGTAAATCCAAGGTGCGATGTCGAACTGGTGGCCTTCCAATGTGGATGATGCTGTGTTGGCTGACTTCACCATGAAGGGGCTGCTTTCATCGAAAGAGGTGGCGCACTGGAGGGCTCCCGTGTCGGGGGAGGTTGTTCCGTGAACCCGGGCCGATGAGGTCATCTCCTTCCTCGCCTTCCACTAGCGTGGGCTCAGGTACCCAGCGCATTGGTTCCTGCG